TATATATATATATATATATATATATATATATATGAAAATTGAATTGGTTGGTATAGTATTTAACGTGGTATTAAAAACTCTATGTTACTACCGTACCATGATTACTCAATTGATATAGTATTATCAGCCAAACATATTTGTTATCAAACATATTGCTTACTAACATTTTTGGTTACAAATATTTTTGGTTTCAACTGGTAAAATGTTTGTTGGTTTTTCACGGCATATATTTGTGGCATATATTTGTAGCTCTACAACTATATAATATTTATTTTAATATATAAAATATGAAAAATATGTCACAAAAAACGTATTGAAAAAGTATTATAATTTTTATAAATTTATATTTTATAAATAAAATAACATTAAATATATAATACACTTAATTAATAAGTAAAGGAATAATAAATATTTAAAAGTTAAATATAACTAAAAAGATATAACAAAATATATAAACCTAAAAATAATGACCGTGGTCCATATACTATATATTAAATGATCAATAATTTTTTAAGCCGATATTTAGTTAGTGGTTATAAATAATCAAATAGCAATTAGTAAAAAAGGAAAATGAAAACCATGATGATGTATTTCAACTTTTTATCTGTAAAATCTTTCAAAAAAAAAAATCTTTTTATCTATAAATATTTGAGAGATGTGGTCAAAGTTATCTCACAAAAGTCTACCTGTGATATTAATATTTTATACAATACTAGTGAGGCATGCAAGTTGTACACGCTACACACCCCTTTTTATACCAATGTGTCTATTAGCTTCCAATTACACACAACGTAAAGAAACTTGCAAACATACATACATACATCTCTCTCCCAACTGCCTCTCTCACTATATATATCTACATATCTATTTGTTTGTGTCTCTCTATATCTTCTCACTATATATATCTACATATCTATTTGTTTTTGTCTCTCTATATCTCTCTATATTCTGAACTTCTGATATGGGTTATGTTTTGACCATCGTATTTTGTTTTCCTCTCTTCTATCTCTTCTGCATTCTCCTCAACTTTCTTGAAAAAAGAAGGCATCAAAACTGTTACATACTCGATTACCAGCTCTACAAACCTTCCGATGACAGGAAACTAAGCACTGAGTTTTCCGGCGACATTATCAAGAGGAACACGAATTTGGGTCTTAACGAGTATAAGTTCCTTCTCAAAGCCATCGTAAGTTCCGGCATTGGAGAAGAAACCTACGCCCCAAAAATGATGTTTGAAGGACGTGAAGAAAACCCTACTCATGATGATGCGATCAACGAGATGGAAGAGATTTTCATAAATAGTATCGGAAAACTCCTCGAGCGTACCGGCGTTCAGCCAGATAGTATCGATGTTCTGGTGGTCAATGTCTCGATGTTGACCTGCATGCCGTCGTTATCCGCCAGAATCGTGAACCGATACAAAATGAGACATGATGTGAAAACGTACAATTTGTCCGGGATGGGGTGTAGTGCGAGTTTAATCTCGATAAATCTCGTTCAAAGTATTTTTAAGTCGAAGAGAAATCAATTGGCGATGGTGGTGACATCGGAATGTTTAACTCCGAACTGGTATTCCGGTAATGACAGGTCGATGATACTATCGAATTGCTTGTTTAGGTCAGGTGGGTGCGCCATGATCTTAACAAACAAACCGAGTCTGGTTCACAGGTCCATGTTCAAGCTCAAGGTTTTGGTTCGAACCCACCATGGTTCTAAAGATGAAGCTTATGGCTGCTGTTTACAAACAGAAGACGCTCAAGGTCGAGTCGGGTTTCACCTCGGTAAAACCCTACCAAAAACAGCCACCCGAGCCTTCGTCGATAACCTAAAAGAAATCGCACCAAAGATCCTCCCACTGCGGGAACTCCTCCGTTTCGCCGCTCTCTCATTTGCCCGGAAAACTCTCCAAAACGTCTTCGGAAAGTCATTCTACGCGACTCGACCCATGATCAACTTCAAAACCGGCATAGACCATTTCTGTCTGCACACCGGAGGTAAAGCCGTGATCGACGCCGTCGCTCAGAGCCTGAACCTCAGCCAATTTGACATAGAACCAGCACGTATGACACTCCACCGGTTCGGAAACACGTCGGCAAGTAGTCTCTGGTATGTTCTCGGCTACATGGAGACGAAGAAGAGGCTGAAGAAAGGTGATAAACTGTTCATGATCAGCTTCGGAGCCGGGTTCAAGTGCAACAGTTGCTTATGGGAAGTGGTGCGAGATCTTGAAGGTGAAGGGAATGTATGGAAAGACTGTAACATTGAAAGCTACCCACCGCTGACCTTAGAGAACCCTTTCATGGCGAAATACGGTTGGCTTCACGACGTCGACGACATCTCAACGCTCAACATTCAAGAATGAAAACGAAAGAAAAAAAAAGTAAAAAGAAAAAGGTCAATTTTTATTTCCATTAAAATGATTGTTTTATTTATAGCAATAATAGTTAAATGTTTTCATGTTTATAGTAGTTGAGTTGTGTGTGTATTTATTTTGGTTGTTGTGCGTTTTCTATTTTACAATGGAATAGCGACACAAAAAATGCTTTTTTTTTCTATTACAAAAGACCCGAAAACCATACGTTATATGCATTTATGAATTCACTCAATAAAACAAAGTAGATGTTCTAGATAAACTCTGGATGTTGCTTTTTTTATCTTATGTGTACTTACCGAAAACAATAGTTCAAAATAAAATATTTAAATATTTATAATTTGTATTATGTAAGATTTAGGTTAGTGATATTAAATTTTATTTTTACAATAAAAATTATTTTTGTATAAAGTAAAAGGGGGAGAGGATGTAGGAGAACAAGTATACAGCTGTGGACATTTATTTCCTGTATAAATCTATTTTTATATCGATATTAATATGGCTTTAATGGGTTGTACTTTATTTTAATAATACGTATCTATAAAGAAAAAAAAAATCAAACAATCGCTCATGTGTTGTAGACAGTGGAGTAGTTGGGGCCTTCCTTCACCAAAAGAACAACTCATCAATGCACACTTAAATTTGATCCAAAAATACTATATATACACCTCAAACTTGTATAGTCGGTTTATTATTACCATTAATGGCAAATTCACTAATAAGTTTTTAAATTATTACAAACAAGTTTTGACTAATGTTACAAACAAGTCTTTAAGTATATAATAGTAATTCAAACTTGATTGAGCCAAAATTTATGGTATAGAATTAAACTCTGAAGGTATAACAATTAGAATTTACATATATAGCGTTTTAAACCCTTAACAAGTATTAGTAACCAAAAATAGTGGTGACTGTATTAGAGGCTTAATGAACAAAAATAATGGTTACTCCATCGGAGGTGTAATGATGGAAAATAGTGGCCTAATGACAAAAAAAAAAATGGTCATTACCGTAGAGATTTAGGGATCAAAAGTATATGTTAATCTCTTTGGATCGAGTTCGAATAAAGTTTGCTTTATTGTTTTAACAGGTATTTTTGAACTATTTAAGTTTCAGGGTTCGAATTTACTTTATCAAACATATTTCTATTGGATGTTTCAACTTATTTAAGTTCTCAACTGAAAGTACTTGGTGAACATAATGCCATGGAGTTGACTTGGAGTTTTGATTTGACTGGTTCAGCTGTACTAAAGCAAAAAAGTTCTATGACAATAAATATTAAGATAAGAATAGCTATAAATATATATTATATTTTGTGTCATTTATGTTTTTTAAGCATTCATCAATAATACATGATGCAACATGCCATTTATTTTTGTATGTGGGGTGCAAATACAAGAGGATGATGGAACACATATAAGTCTTACCAGGTTGGAAACTTTGATTTATGTCATGACAATCTTTTATAAAATAAGTGTTGAACTTGTTGATTAAAATATTGTTGTGTAAATGTAAACTATGTGGATGTATTATGTTGAATGGTCGAATACTATGACATGCCTCAATTATGTCAGGTTTAAATGTTGAATGATCCATACACCAATTCCAACTTCTGACAAGACTTTTTTTATAGAAGGATTCTCTCTCGATCAATAACTTTCATTTCTTGAAGCTCAATTGCCCTCTGTTGTTTCTAGCATATAAACTAATATCAATGCCATTTTGAGGAGTTGGATTCAAAATTTTGAATATCATAAGAAATTCATTGAATCTCAATTTGATGATTTGCGAGTTGATATGAAAGTTTGGAATAACGCCATCTATATTCAATACGATCAACATTATTCCTCATATACTATGTTTCTTAGAACATGTGATAAGTTGAATATTGCCATCGGAACCTTTCTTATGGATATCTATCATTAATCCATCTCTCTCTTAGCTAGTTGTATTTGTGCAGACAGATCATGTTATCAATTCTCAACCATATGTTGTAGTATCACCATCTACTTAGTGTCATGAAGATCCCATGAAATTAACTTGATACTATCATAAGTACAGTTGTAAATGAACCGAACGAACATGAACGAAGACTTGTTCATGTTCGTTCATTTAAGTTAGTCGAACAAACGAACGAACACGAATAGATAAACGAATGAGTTTGCTTGTTCATATTCATTCATTTAACAAATTAAATTGTTCATGTTCGTTCATTTATGTTCGTGAACATGCTAAACGAATGTATGAATGGAGATGAACAAACATAATTGAATATATAAGAACATAAAGAAACATATAATATAGTAACATAATCAAACAAAGTTGAACATTTATGAACATAAAATGAACTTAAATGAATGAACATAAACAACGTAAACGAATGTTCACAAACATAATTTGTAACGTCTGCAGATTCAAGCTATTCAGTTAAGATATAATAAGCGTTAAAAAAATGAATTTTTGATAGAAAATTATTTAGGATAAATAATCATAAACAAAGTTATAATATATATGACAAAGGTTTTGTACATATAAAAAACGTTGAAATCCGACTTCTTATGAAGAAGTTATGTTTCTTCGAAGTAAACAGACATGACTCTGCGTATCGTAAAAAGTAGATTTTTGATAAATTACTTTTTAGCATAAGTGATCTAAATGAAAGTCGTAGTAGTCATTAAACCGAGAGTGTGCATATAGAGAATGTCCAAATCTGACTTCGTGAGAGGAAGTTATGATTTTTCGAAGTTTCAGCGCAAAAATGTGGGCACAAAAAACGAAATTGAAATCAGCCGGTTGTTAGAAAAAACAATCTAAACGAGATTTGAAGATGTCGTTAAGTAACATCCCAAAAACAATGATAATTTTTTTCATTTTTAAAGTCATTAATTCCATACATTAGATGTCTCAAAGTCAACCACAATACAAAGTATCAAAATCATGAGAGTAAAAATAATCGTAAGTGTGGAATCATGATGGGGATGTTGTGCCATCATGTCGGGCCCTTCCCTTTTTCGTACTGGAAGTACCTGAAATCATAAACATAAATTGTAAACACAAAGCTTAGTGAGTTCCCCAAAGTACCATATACCATACATACAATTGGACCCAACCCTGGGGTATATTTCAACCCAAAATACACTCATGGGCCCAGCCTTGGGGTATGTTTCAACCCAATCATACATACATGGGCCCAACCCTATGGTTTCTTTCAACCTAATCATACATGCAAGAGTCATAAAGACAACTAGCATCCTACATAACACAATCCAATGAGCCGACATTGGTGCCTTCGACCCACAAGTACAGTGAGAAGACTCATCTCTTAGACAAGGCTCAACTGCTACTGCTCTCACTGTCAAAACACCGCTACTACGCACCACCTATACAGTCATACCGTATAAAACTCTTAGCTCTTCTTCCAAAACTAGGTGTTTGACCAAAAGTCAACTCAAGCCAAAAGTTAACGGTCAAAGTCAACAGTCAATGTTAACTTTAGTCAACAGCCATGCCTTGGCCATCCATGGCCACGTCGTGGCCCTCATATATCGAGACAGTCACGATTTTCCTAGTCGCCACTCTGTGGCGACCTAATGTCATGTCGTGGACACTAGGTTTCCAACAACTTAATGGGTTAAGCCGTTTTCTTCGATTCCCAGAGCTCCAAAGCTCGGATCTGGTCCAAAACATGGTCTAGAATGATAAATTTTCCAACTTTATCAATTAATACCACCCTAAAGATTAAAATCTCAAACCCTAGGCTCCAAAAAGACTAAATAAGACATGGATTCACCCACTAAGCACTTATTCCAGAAAGTCCTTAGCTCATTTACTCTAGAAGGGTTTCTAATGCAAAAATCATCATAAAAGTTTGTGCTTTATGGACATGCATGTCTAGAATCCATAAAGAGTCAAAATAAGTTTTTGATAAAAATCACATGCGTGGCTCAAAAACTAAACTACACTTTAGATCCAAAACCATATTCATACCAAATGATCACCCACCTGGAATTCGAGGTCCGGTCGACGCCGGTCTACATAACTCTTCTGCCGACTTTGCACGATTCTCAACTTATCGATCACCTGATGTATCAACTCAGTGGTCTTAAGTACTACCTCAGTACTTCCCATGACCCGATGTCCGACCTTGCCCCACCAAATCGAGGTCCTACACTTCCTTCCGTACAACATCTCGAAAGGTGGTCGATCAATACTGGCATGATAATTGTTGTTGTAGGAGAACTCGGCCAGTGAAAGGTAAGTATCTCAACTCCCTCCAAAATCTAGCACGCATACACGCCCTAAGCATATCTTCGAGCGTTTGAATCGTCCGCTCAAAATGTCTATCGGTCCGGGGTTGTATGCTGTACTGAAATGCAACTGAGTACCAAAATCCTTATGAAACTTCCTCCACAACCTAGAGGTTAAAAAAAACATCTCGATCCGAAACCGCCAAAACTGGAACCCCGTGCCGAACCACCACCTCCCGGATATAAATGTCAGCCAACTTCTCGGTAGATATACTCTCAGCGATCGGTATAAAATGAGGACTCTTGGTCAATCTATCAACAATGAACCAGATATAGTCAACCCCACATGTCGTCCTTGGCAAATTTGTGAAGAAATTCATGGTGATCTCTTCCCTTTTCCACATGGAAATGGGTAACGACTGCATCTTGCCATGGGGTCTCTGATGTTCGGCCTTGACTTTCCGGCAAGTCAAGCACCGCCCCACAAACCATGCTATCTCCTTCTTCGTACAGAGCCACCAATAGCTCAACTTCAAATCCTTATACATATTTGTGGCTCCTTGGTGGATCGAAAACTTTGACATATAAGCCTCCTCCAACACTGTCTGCCTAACCCCACCAGTAGTTGGGACCCAAACCCTTCTACACTAAGTCAGCAAGCCCAAATTATCTCTAACGAACAATGGAATTTGATCCCTGATTCGTTCCGACTTCCAATTTTCATTCTTCAATCCTTCCATATGT